CCGGGTGTTCGGTGGTGCTGGGAGGCCAGCACTGCTGGTAGCAGCTCGCCACGCTTGCTGCAAAACAGGAAACCACGCTCCTGGCTGCTGGAGGAGCTGAGCGAGGGGGACGCCATGGATGCCACTAATAGCTGTGGTATGGCAGCCAGGCGCCGCAGCCCCCAGCTCTGTCCTGCTTTGCGCTCCCGCCTGGGCTGTGCCCAGCCCCGCCTGCCCCCAGCCTTCCTCGCCTGCCCTCCTCTGCCTTGCTGCGGTGCTGGGGGCAGGAGTGTGGCCACGGACTCGGTGGCCCTTTCAGGGAGAAAGCAGCACCCATCTCCAGCAGCGGCCCTGGGGGGCTGGGAAATCGCAGGGGCTGAGCCCCCCTCCTTTGTTTTTGCTGCAGGCCCAATGGAGCAGGGAGACTGGTGGCGGTGGCTGCTGCTGCTGGTGGGCATCCAGCTGGCCGGTGGCCAGTGCCCGGAGCAGTGCCAGTGTGTCCGCACTGCCCAGGTGGAGTGCTCCGGCGCTGGCATCACCGCGGTCCCCAGCCCCATCCCCGCGAATGCCATGACCCTCCAGATCATCAACACGCATATTGCTGAGCTGGGCGACGCGTCCTTCGGCAACGCCTCCCTGCTGATCGGGCTGCGCATCGAGAAGAACAACCTGTCGCGCATCAGCCCCGGGGCCTTCCAGCACCTGCCCGACCTGCGCTACCTCAGCCTGGCCAGCAACAAGCTGCAGGAGCTCCCTGTGCAGGTCTTCGAGCCCCTGGACAAGCTGGAGTCGCTGCTTCTCTCCAGCAACCAGATCCTCCAGGTCGAGCCTTCCCACTTTGCCCACCTGAGCAACCTCAAGGAGCTGCAGCTGCACGGGAACAACCTGCAGGAGCTGAAGGAGGGGGTGTTCGACCAGCTCACCAGCCTCACCAAGCTCAACCTGGCCAGGAACAACATCGACCGCCTGCCGCCCCGGGCCTTTGAGCGGCTGGCACGGCTGCAGGTGCTGCGGCTCTATGAGAACCGGCTCCGGCAGATCCCGGCAGGCACCTTCGACGGGCTGCCAGAGCTGCAGGAGCTGGGGCTGCACCAGAACCAGCTGGAGACGCTGTCCCCAGAGCTCTTCATGCACAACGGGAACCTGCAGAAGCTCTACCTGTCCAACAACCTCCTCGCCACCCTGCCGAGTGGCGTCTTCTTGCCTCTGCGCGCCCTTGCCAAGATCACCCTGCACGTCAACCGTCTGCGGGACATCTCCCCCGGTGCCTTTGGGCCCATGCCCGACCTCCGGGAGCTGTGGCTCTATGAGAACGAGCTTTCCACCCTCCCCACCGCTGTCTTCAGCAACCTCACCCAGCTGCAGCTCCTGGTCCTCAGCAAGAACCGGCTGCGCTCGGTGGCGCCAGGCACTTTCCGGGGCTTGGGGGAGCTGCTGGAGCTGTCGCTGCACTCCAACGCCCTGCGCCGCCTGGATGCCCAGGCACTGGAGGGGCTGCCCAAGCTGCAAAACATCTCCCTGCACCACAACCAGCTGGAGGCGCCGCCA